AAGCGTGTCTTTTCTTAGGGTATCTTTGATATGTGAGCTTTTTTATTTGAATCATCAAAAAAAAAAAAAAAGATATCCACGCCAAGCAGTCTAGTGCCAATAAAAAAAATTTTTGCTCGATCGAACATACCATCTCAGAGAGCTGGTGGGCCATTTTTTGCCACTGTGATCCAAGTATCTCGTAGAAGACAGCATTCGGAAAGTTTGGATCTATGACGACTTTTGCTCTACTTGTTCCGAAAATTTCAATTTTTTCTGATGAGCTATTCTTCAGAAGCTCCTGAACGGAGTACCCGTAATGCGTTCATTGGGTAGTTATGAGCTGTAATTGATTTAAGATTGTTAAAGGTATTTTTTTCGAATTTTGGGCATTAATTCAATCGATATTTTTTTGTTTGTTTGTGAACGATCATTAATACATTCAACAATGGTTGTTTGATACATCGATTATGATTCATACTCATTATTGTTAATATTTAAAAGACAAATAAACAATAGCAAACATCTTTTTTTTTTTTTACTTTCTTATCTTTTCTATACGATATAAACAATGGTTTAATGTTCAACTATTTGTTACACTTCGAACATTGGTTATTTGTTTTAATAGATAAGCAATCATATAATATTTGTATAAGAATAAGAAAACTTCCCTTTATTTATAATATACATGACAAGCATCATACAAAGAGAAATAATGAATATAGATAAGATAGCAAAGAAACATATTGCTTAGAAATTTATATAGATATTAGATTATTGAATAATATCTTTGAAATTAGAAAACAAGAAAGCGAACAATGTTGATATTAAGAAAAAAATATCCTTGAATTATATAAGACTCATTCTATCAAATTTTTTAATTATTCAACCTTTTTTGGGAAAAATTAAAAAACATCTTTTAGACACAGAATTGAACGTTCTATCGAATGGTATTATTTCTATTTATCAAACCGACTTTGAAAGAAAAAAAACCGCTCATCAATAAGATATCCTCGCATTGTATAGCCTACCTTGATATTAAAATCAATCGTGTCTGAATCATTTCAACAGTTGTCATAATTTCAAAATTTAATATTCTATCGATTGACATCAATTTCATGTAAGAATGTGGCAAAGGAAATTAAAAAAAGTGAGAGGAAGTGCAAGAGAACTTTTCTAAAAGGTAGAGAGATGCATGTACCATCTTTAAAAGTGCCGATACTGCAGAAATATTCTTTTTCTTTTTTTTTGATTAAATCTTATCAATGAATAGAACTAATAAATAGAGAAACAAATTTTATTTCGAAATCATTCAAGTATCTTCAATGCATGGAATTTATATATCAACCGATAGAGACTTTAATTCTGCATGTGGCATAGCTTCTTAGATATCACCCGGACATGTGTTATTGATTTAGCAAAATATTGTTTTTTACAAGGAATCACAACAGGTGATGATACTTAATCAATTATATTATAATATGTCTTAGATAAAAATTGTATTATGAGATTGCGCTTCTTTTCTAAGCCTAAAATTTGAAATGAAATTTTAAAATAAATTTCAGAACTTTTTCACCAGAAGATAACATTTACCTTCGATAAATAATTGATTCGATATTTATCTTTCATTATATAACCTTTGAAAGCAGTAGAAATTTTGATTCAGTGATATATATTTGTGTCGAATTTCGTTATTTAAAGACTATCATGTCGATATTTTTGTCCTCTACAATGATGCTTTTGTTCTTACGATTTTTTGCTTGGTGGTTTTTTCGAGCAATAAATTTTTTCCTCTAGTAATATGCCCTGTCGACGTATGGTGCTGGATCTTCATCGATATCTATTGGTGAATTCTTATCGTAACCTGGAATAGTGGGTGTGTTGTAGATTCAACGTCGTTCGTTTTATTTTGCGTATATTTGTTTATATGGCATTACCACTTTTTATCTTTTATATTTTTACCTATTTCTTTTTCAAGGGCAACAAATCGAGATAATAGATAGGCAATATATTATTTGTTTTTTTCTTTGTTAGATCTCAATATATTTAGAATATAGTGAAGGAAAATGATTAATTTTAGTTCTCGATGTGGTTCATTATTTCAAACAACAGGTGTAAAAACTCTTACTGTGAGTTTTATTTTATATATGTTATGTTATATTCAGTTTTTTGTTTTAATTAATCTAGACGTCGAATTGGATTCGATGTGCTAGTGCTTCGTCAAAACCTGTAAGTTAATTTTAATTTAATTGAATAAAAGATTTTTCTATTCGATTTTTAAATAGCCAACTGTTAAAAATTGGATTAATGGACGAGCTGTGGAATCAAAAACTAATGATTGGATTGAACTTACTAATCCAGTATGTTATTATTCATAAAAAATTGATAAATTTCATTTAGTTCGTTTAGTCAACAAATGAAGTTATTGGTTTAGTACCAAAAAGTACTCGAGCTGAAATGAATGAAGCTGTTGAAAGTTGTAAAGAAGCATTTCGTACATGGTCAAAAACCACTATATTACAACGACAACAAGTCATGTTTCGTTATCAAGATCTTATAAAAAAGAATTTAGTTAGTTTTGTTTTCTTTTTCTTTTTTTTATAAAAAAAATCACATATTGAATTAATTAAAAAACAAATATTTAGAAAAAAGTTGCAGCAAATATATCTAAAGAACAAGGTAAAACATTAACAGATGCTGAAGGTTCATGTTTACGTGGTTTACAAGTTGTTGAATCATGTTGTTCAGTAACATTTTTACAAACTGGTGAAACAATGCATAGTATTGCAAAAGATATGGATATTCATAGTTATCGAGTACCATTAGGTGTTTGTGCTGGGTTAGTTAAATATATTATTTTATTTAAGAAACACAAAAAAAAAAATTTATAAAAATTTTATATTGTAGCATTGCACCATTTAATTTTCCAGCAATGATTCCACTTTGGGTAATCATTAAACAAAAAAAAAACAAAACAGAAGAAAAATTATGATTAATTTTTGTTTTTATGTAGATGTTTCCGGTAGCAACTGTTTGTGGAAATACGATGCTTATGAAACCAGTAAGTAAAATTAAAATGAAATAATATTTAAATTTTCATAGTTAATTATTAGTCTGAACAAGATCCTGGCGCATGTATGATGCTTGTTGAATTAGCTAAAGAAGCTGGTTTACCTGATGGTGTTGTTAATTGTATTCATGGTCAACATGAAGGTACAAACAATAAAATAAAAAAAAAATTATTTGTTTATATATGTATTTGATTATTTAAGCTGTTACATTTATTTGTGATCATCCTGATATTCGAGCTATATCATTTGTTGGTTCTGATACAGCTGTACGAATTACTTTTTTTTTTTTCTTAAATAAAATTTTATTCATAAAATTATGATTTAGGGTAATTACATATATGAACGTGGTTCAAAAAATGGTAAACGCGTGCAATGTAATATGGTAAATATGATTAAGTTCTTTTTTTTTTATTTTATTTAAATATATATATTTTTTTTAATTTCAGGGAGCCAAAAACCATGGTGTTATTATGCCTGATGCTAATAAAGAACAAGCATTAAATCAAGTATATATGGAAGAGATGAGTTTATTCTTTTTTAATCTTGCTTTTTATATTTAGCTTGTTGGTGCAGCATTTGGTGCAGCTGGTCAACGATGTATGGCATTATCCACGGCAATATTTGTTGGTAAAGCACGTGAATGGATTCCAGAGTTAGTTGAAAGATCTAAAAAATTACGTATTAGTGCTGGTTATGAAGCAGGAGCTGATTTAGGACCGGTTATATCAAAAAAAGCTAAAGACCGTGTTCTTCAATTAGTTGAGACTGGTATAAATGAAGGTGCAAAATTAGTTTTAGATGGACGAAATGTTAAAGTACCTGGTTATGAAAATGGTAACTTTGTTGGTCCAACAATTTTACATGATGTTAAAGTAAATTAAATTAAAATTTTTTCATTTTGTTTTTTTTTTATTAAAAAAACATATATAAATATATTTGCTTTTCTCTTAGCCAAATATGACATGTTATAAAGAAGAAATTTTTGGTCCTGTACTTGTTTCAATGAGTGTTGATACATTAGATGAAGCTATAAAAATAATTAATGACAATCCATATGGTAATGGTACAGCTATTTTTACAACAAATGGAGCTACAGCTAGAAAATTCACACAAGAAATTGATGTTGGACAAGTAAAGAGAAAATTTTTTTAATGAGTTGATATAAAAATTAGAAAGATTTTTTTTTTTCGTTTAGATCGGTGTTAATGTTCCAATTCCAGTACCACTTCCAATGTTTTCATTTACTGGCTCACGTGGTTCATTCCGTGGTGATACAAATTTCTATGGACGAAATGTAAGAAAAGAATATCTTTTGTTTTTTGTTTTTTGTTTTATTATGGATTTTCTTGTTTTCGTAGGGAATGAATTTTTATACTCAATTAAAAACAGTAACTTCAGCATGGCGACAAGAAGATGCAACACCAGTTGATGTTCAAATGTCAATGCCAACAATGTAATAAAAAACAAAGCAATAGAGAGAGACATACAAATTCGATATTCTTCTTTTTGCTTTCGCTGCAATATTTGTAAACATTCATTTATCAATTTTTTTTTGTATGTTTACATTGTTGAAAGAATATCGATAAATGATTTTAATTTAATTTCATTCCAATTATCTGTTAACAAACCGAATGATTCATGTGATTCAATTGTACCAGATCGAATATAATAACTACCAGCTAATACTCAATAAGACCAAGACATTGTTTTAGTTAATGATGTTTGAAAAAAACTTTTAACACAATCAATAAATATATCATCACCTTTAAATTGATCAACATTTGTACCAAATTCTGTTAACCAAACAGGAGCTATATAGGATTGATTGGATTCTAAGATAAATCCCCATGTATATTTAATACCTTCTTTCATTTTATTACATTCATTTGAATGACCATAATTTGGCCATGAGTACCAATGGGCTTCATAGACTATTTCCTGTTGTATTGATTATGGCACAAGTTCTTGTATTGATAATAATCGAATGAATGATAGATCAAGATCATAATTCAAATCAGAAATAATTATTAAAAGTCGAGAATTAATTGATGATATGGCTTCACCAATACCTCGTAAGACATAATAATACCATTCTGGTAGATTTTGTCTTAGACTTCGTAATTCATTTCTCAAACTCATTCCAATAATATATGAACGATTAATGGTTTTTTTAGTCATAAATATCAAACCGTCAATCCATTGTTCAACATCAAAATATCGATCACCCCAAAAACCATTTCCATCAAATTCATTACAACACCACATAGCTTTACTAATATGATTATCAAGTAAAACTAAAATATTATATTTTCCAAGTGTATTTAAAATAGAATCAAATACATATGAAATACTTCTATTAATAAGTAATGGATTATTTTCTATAAAACCTTTTAAAGCTAGTGTTAAATTAAGTCTTAAAAACGATTGATAAACAGCTAAACTAGATGAACGTGTTACATCAATCGAATATGTTAAACGTACACAAGTCAAATTCATTTATTTTATAAGTAAAACAATATTATCTATTGAATTATGTTGTAAACCTTCTGGCAACAATGTTTTCATACTTCCTGGTCAATTAACACATTTCATTCGAACAATAGTATCTTTAGCATCAATTATTCAATTATCCAATGTTGAAAATGGAAATTCATACGAATAAATATTTGAAAAAAATACAACATATAGAGTAAATATACCAAACAACTTTTTAAAGTTTCTTTTATTTTTTTCTTTGATGTAAATATATATTTAAAATGAAAATCATAAACGAAGAAGAGAGAAAAAAAAAAGAATGAAAAATAATAATATCTGTCACATAAATCCGAAGATAAATGTTCATGATTAGATAAAGTGACAGAAATGGATAAAATTTTATATCATTCACTTATGTCCATGTAATCGGTTCTTTTCATTATTAGCCATTGCCGCAACAATCTTTCTTGTATCACCACCAGCATCATGATGTTGAGAATTTAATTCTACTTCTATTTTACTACGTTGTTTACCACCACTATTAATACAATAGAAAGAATAGATAAATCATTTTTTGTTTTTTTTTTTGACGAAATAAATCTACCTTCCAGCATGTAAATATTTTTCATATTGTTCATAAATATCTTCAGCATTTTGTTCAGCTAATGCTGTAGCTGATACAGAACTTGTTGATGTCATCGAAATATATATCTATGAAGGAAACAAAAAAAAACATTCTATATTTATCTAATTGCAATCGAAAGGATGCATTGCAAACAAATACAATAATATCGAATGGTAGAATGCATTTCATGTGATAATAACAAAACCCCTTAATATAAACGAACGCAAAAAAGAAGAAAATAAGCGAAGGAATAATTTGAGTACAAAATTGTCGTCGTCACCTCTATGGAATGTAAGAGACGAGCTGCGCTACTTTACTATTTCTATTACTGATGTTAGTGGCGGTATTAACCATCTTCTATGATGTCGCTTTGAAAAGAATAAGAAAGACAAATATAAATAGATTTACCAGGGATATAGAAGAAGGGGGTAACATATGGTTAGAATCAAAGTAAATATTAAACAAAAATAAAGTGAAAATATTAGTCATCGCGAACAGTTTTGTTTTCTCCATAAATAAATGTGAATCATTATGTTGATATTTATTTATTTTAATGGAATATGATTTGTGGTCAGTAAAATAAATGAAACTGTCAGTAAATGATTAATTAGTAAACTACCTTAACGAGCACTTGTTAATTAATTAAATTTGTATATAAATTTAAAAATCAGTAAATACAATTTACTAACAGTCGATTATATGGAAGGGTCAGTATAAAAAATGAAATGATTATAGAATGAATGACTTTCGTAATTCTTTTCCTTTCTCTTCAGCTGTTCTACATATGTTCTCATTCTTCTGATCTACTTCTTTTAACGTACATATTTTGTGAAGCAGAAGATTAATTTTTTAAAATTCTTCTTATTGTTCATTATTTATAACAAAGGGAAAGAAGCTTCTCGAATTCTTCTCTGGTCGTTGTCTTTATTTATTCCCATGTATGAATATATAGTATTTTTCAAACAAAAATAACATATTTCGCGTATCAGATGAAGAGATGGTGGAAGAAGATCATAGAAAAAAAAGCAATTAAGATGTTAAGTTAAAAAATGTGGATTTGATAATATTGACGAAGCGGAAGCATTATTTGAAAATCAATGGTCAAAATATAACACAAACTATACAGAAGATGAGAGAAAAAAGTTTATTATAGATGCAACAAAGTTAAACGCCGTGGTCCTCAATGTCGCGTGCAAGTCTTTATCTGCTATATCATGCAGATAGTAGTAAAAGTAATTGTTTATGAAACGAAAGCTGAACACGAACATCATAATAGTACAATTCATGGTATTGATGAAAATGTTTAAAAGTATATAGAAGATTTATTTCATGATGGTATTAAGAAAATAAAACTAATTCTTCGAGCACTTCAATCAAGAAAAATAAAAGTGTCAATATTAGCACAGCTAAATAACCATCTTGTCTATTATAGAAAGAGGAAATTTGGTTCACATAAAATAAGTTTAGGTAAATAATAGTAATGGTATGAAAATAATCAAAATATTCTAATTGGTGAAAACAAATCTTTTGTTGTATCATACAAGATATTATATGATGATGAAGAGTATGAAGATGTAGGAGATGATAGTGAAAACAAATTTTGTATCTTTATGTCATCTATTTGTTTGCTCAACGTTATATCTACGTCATAAAATATACTTGCTGATGTTACTGATAAATTGCCCACATTGTCTCATTTTTAGCAACTGCGACGCAATTAAGCTGTAGTAGCGATTGTATTGTGACTTGTAATTACGAAAAATTATGACGTAGTTACGCGTAGTCACGACAGAAAAGTCGTGAATTACGCACAACCACGATATTTTCATCGTAACTACCTCGTAGTTTTTTTGCCATTGTGATAGAAATATGACGTTGGTTAAAGCGTGACTACGTCATATTTCAATCGTAAATGTGAAAAATTGTAATGCAGTTTCGTGTAGTTAAAATGAAAGAATCGCAATTACGTGTAACTGCGTTACACTTCGATTGTAATCAAAAACATAGATAGTACGTGACAAAGTGTTCCAATATTAGTTATTGGAACAATTGATTTGAATCAAGCATTTCATCTATTTGGTTTAGTAATGTGCTCAAATGAAAAAACAAAAGATTTTCAATTGATCTTCAATAGTCTTTCGATTGGTATACAAAGAGGGTGTATGTGGGTATAGTTATTCGTTTAAAATATTATAAAGCACCAGTAGTAGCAAAGACAGTGCCGATCAGTAAGAGAAGAAAAAGAGGTAGAAAAGCAATGGCTAAGTCTACTTTAATAATACAATAATTCAATTTTTGTTTTATTTTTTTTTTCGATTATTCTTTAAATTTCTTCTTTTCTATTCTGTGATTTTTTGATTTATTTAAATTTATATTCTACTGATAAATTTTGTATTTCTTACTGGCATAAATTGAAATTTTTTACTGCTACTTATATTTAATAAACTGACCATTTTACAATTAATTACTAGTAACTTTAGTACTGACCGTCTAATATTTATAATAACCACATAAATGGCAGCTTTTATTTAATGTATACCAAATGTTTAAGATTAAGAAGAAAAAATTGACAAATTATACATAGAGTATTGAGAAAATTACTAAAATAAAAATGATTTTTATTGAGAAATAAACGTCAAGTCTTTTTTGCAATGCTCTCTCTCTCTCTAATTTTTAATTATTCAATTTATGCAATGATAATTCTTTCAAAAACTCGAATTAATCACCTTGTTAGTATTTACTAGTGAACATATCCAACTGTTAATCGTCAATCGAAGTGATATTTTGCTCATAGGTAAGACTCAGTGTAACTAGAAAAGATCTGAAAGGACTCATCCGCATAGACCTTCTCAATGGAGCTATAACCGGCTTTTTATCGAATTTTCGGTTTATATCAAGATATTCATGGAAAAATCAAAATGAAGGAATTTTTGTCTGAAAGCTTTAATCAAAGCATATAGTTCCTACTCGAATTATCGAATATTCAAAAAAAAATAACAATCAAATATTACAAAAACAGTCATAAAGTCAACTTTTCTTCAGCATTTAATATGTCGAGAAGGAACTATATGCTTTGACTAAAACTTGTAGGATATTCTAACACATTCATGAATAATTCCAATAAAATATCGTTGTTTATGATTAAGATAATGATATAAGAATGAATATTGTCAGACAATTTCGAAGTTTTTTTGTTTCATAAAGGCGGCAAGAATAATAAATATGAGTTTTATAGTTAATAACGAATCGTATATATATAATAAAACATCAAATTTTAATCGTTTAATTGAACGAATTCGACAATGTATTCGCGAACGTGAAATGGCAAAAGAACAACAACAACAACAACAACAGTGTATAAAAATTTCTTCAATTCTTCATTATATTGAACATATAAAACGATGTATTTATGAAAATCCATTAATTGGTCGAGTACTTTTTCAGTTTTATAATACAATAAAACATTTTCCTTCACAAAATAATCGTATGAATTCAAGAAAAAAAAAGAGAATTTGTTTTATTTTTTTTTAATTTTTAAAAATGAAAGGATTTCCTTCGGCAATTACATTCGAAAATAATGAATCAAAAATGAATTTAGACGATAAAACTTCCATTAATAATTTATCTACAGTTAGTAGTCTAATTGAAACAAAATCAGATCTATCAAAAAAAAATTTAACAATTTCACAATCAACGGAATTAAATAATTTACAAACAATAAAATCTACTACTCATTTTATTCAACCATTTCGAATGTCTCGTCAAATTGGTGGTTTAATGACAAAAGCAACATTATCAGCAATTACTAAGGTTAATAATTAAAGAAAGAAAATTTTTCTCTTTAATATTTATAAAAGAAAAGCTGTTACTACGATCTCTCCGGGATTAAATTGTGAAACACGATGTTGTTAATCACAGATAGATTATTTTATTCTATCTATTTTGAGACACAGCTCTTTACCATCTTTTTATTATATTTCTCCAGAAATTCAATAAGAAAGTAGGTCTTATCATGTAATGAGACATTATTAATATACGTTCTGTAGAGCCTTGTAGCGTAAAAGTGTCGTAACCGGTTAGCTTGCGAATATTTTTAGACGTTAGATATTGTCGAGACCTTTGCTAAAATTATACACTACGAAAAAAGATAGAAGTACAAATAACCTGACAACTAAATTAGATTGGCTGCAAAACATTCAACAGAAACAGATGTATTGCTAGTCTATTCTTCACACATATGGCTACTCAAATGTATATTTAGTTTTCTAATTTTAACTTTCATCTGTAATATCTATAACAAAGTTTAACATCGTCAATAAGGCGCCAAAAAAACAAAGAAAAACGATTTACTTGTGTAAAATAATGTTATGTGACAAGTTGCATGAGATGTGAAAGAGGATTGTGGTTATAAGTCAGCTTTTGATTCTACTATGAATAAAACGTTCTAGATTAGATAAGTCTCAAATGATCTTTTAGGAATAATCTTTTATTTGGAATTCCTACAAGTTCAGCTATATGGGAACATGTGTTCAGTTCATCAGATCAAATTTTATATATAAAAAAGAAGACAATCATTAAATTCAGATATTGTTGGTGATTAGAAATTTTCGAGATATTTAGTGTTGTTTTTGTTTGCTTTATGATTGAAACGAATTGAATAAAATTCCATTAATTTGGATCTTTCTCTAGTGCCAACCAGAGCAGTTTAAAGGTTATGAAATAAAGTCTCGAGGCAAGGTCAGGTTATCAAAATACCAGCAGAATAGATTAGAGATTTGTCAAAATGGCGTGTCTTGCAGTTCTCTAACGGTCTGTGGTCGTATATCAGCAACGTCTGTCACAGTCTGTGGAGGAGAGGTACAAATTTTTACTTCTATACTTCTTTTAGATCGTGTTTTATAAATTCTCTTTTTTTTTTAATTTAAGGCACCACGCCAACGTACTACACATGATATTGAAGTTCTAGAACATCTATTGAACCGTTGTGAGAGTCTTCGTCATTTACCTACGAATGTTCGTCGTTATGCTGGTTGATTAATCTAATTATTGATGTTTGTTTTTTTATTTGTATTATTAATTCATCTGAAATTTTAGCTCGTTCACTTTTACTTTTTACTTATCAACCAAATACAATCCTCACTCGGCAAAATTTTCCTTCATTTCTTGTTTATATAATTGTTTATGGTAATTTAAATATTTTTTTATTTTTTTATTCTTTTAAAAAATTGAGATTTTTTTTTTATTACATGTCAATGTATCTTATTACTCGAAACGAATCAAACAACAGTATTTGGTCATCGATTAAATATTGGTGATGTATATGGAGATGATTCTCTTCAATTAATAAATTATTATCATATAAATGGTTTAATAACAAATGAAATAAATTATTGTAATTTAATAGGATTTTTTTCAAGAGATATTAGAGTAAATTATAAATGAATATTTTTCTTAATTTATTTATTTTATATATATATAATAAAAAGGCTTATGAAAATTATTTATCTGATATAATGAAAAAATCATTACTTGAACAATTTCGAATACAATCAATATTTAGTAGTATTCAATGGCGAAATGATATTTTGAATTATATTGTAAGTTTGTTTTTTTTTATTATTATTTTTATTTTTTGATAAATTTCAATAAATTTTGTTAGTAGTTAAAATGGTCTAGTTATAAACAATATTCAATTGATGAAATTATTTATGGAAATGAAGAATATGAACATGAAAATTTATATTTTATTTTACATGGTCAAATTTCTTTTGTACGTCTACTTGATTTTCCATCCATTATAATTAAACATCCAGAATACAGTCAATATTATCAGAAATTAAATAATAAAAAGAATAATAAAGCAAAAATTAAACAGATAAATACAACAGGTATCAGTAATTTGATGTATTAGTCTTACTATCAATAAAATATACTATATGAAAATTTATTTAAATATATACAAGATTATTTTTCTAATCTAATTTATTTTTATATTTTAGATCAATATCATCCAAGTAATGATAACGATTCAATATTGAATTCATTAAATGATTCCATGAATATTAGTAATTGTTCTTCATTAACAGCTTTAAATCTTTCAGTAATCATATCAAATTCAAATTTAGAAAATAAATCAAATCTTCAACAAAATTCAAAACTAAAAACTACATGGCGTTTTCTTGAAATATTTATTCTTTCAAATGGACATTATTTTGGATTTGAATCAACAACAATTCATTCATGGTATCTCACTCGTAGTATAGTCGATATTATTTCAAGTAATATTGATTTTGTATTATGATTAAATAATTTCATTATTTTGATTTTTGTTTTTGTTTTTTGTCAAAGTTCCAAAAAATCGTTTTAAAGAACTTGGTTCTTTTGCTCCAATGATATTTGAAAAACTTCGTGAAGATTTTCTTGATATATTTCCAAATGAAATTTTTATACGTAATTCATATATAAAATATCTTCAAACAAATAAATTAAATGAAAATGAAATTTCAATAATCAAATTTAGTAATCATAAAAAACGATCAACTATTCATAATTATGATATAAAAAATATTAATTGGATTCCAGAACAAAACATTCTCAGTATAAAACAAAAGAAAAAGCATACTTTTTTTTTCATATTAATACATATACACACAAAAATTTTTTCTATAGATCAATACAAAGAAAATCTTTATTTATCAAATAAATTATCATGTAATTAAATTGGTGTTCCTCGTACAACAAGTCCAGCTTTACGATAAATTTCATCAATTATTTCCATATTACGAATAGAACTTTTTCTACTTGTATATACTATTTCATATGCTTTATCAATTGAATTTCCATCTTGAATCATTTTAACAGCATCTATAAATGCTTTTAATTGATAATAATAAGTTGACTGATTATCAGCATAATTTTTTATTGTACGTGTTTGATTAGTTTTTCGTTCTCGTATAGTTAAATAATGATAAAAAACAGGTGCAATAAGATTATAAACTGTTATTATTGCATGTTCACATTCGATTATAATTTGTTGTTTAAAAAATGACCAATTATTTGTAAATTCACAATAAATATTACATTTTATACCATCTAATAATAAATCACTTCTCATACCATAATCAATTTGAGGATTTGTTGAAGATATTCGTAATGGTTCAGCTTTTTGAACTTCAAATGAACCTTCATCATCATTATCATTATGATTATTGTGAGTATTAACAATAAAACGACACATTGATACTAAATAACAACCAAGATCCATTTGAGCTCCACCACCAAGAGAATATTGAAATCGAATATCATCATTTTTAAACATTGAAGATGAAACAGTCATAATACCAGAGATATTTTGAATAGAACCAATTTCATCTTTATTCGAAATAATATTTTTCAATGTTTCATTACAAAATGGATGATATCTATAATGAAATGCTTCGACGAGTAAACGATTTTGTTTTTGAGCTTCTTCAACCATTTCACGTGTTTCATTAGCATTATTCGATAATGGTTTTTCACAGAGTACATGTTTACCAGCACGTAAAGCTTTCAGTGTCCATTGATGATGAAGGCCATTAGGTAACGGATTATAAATCATAGTTATATCGGGATCAGCTAATAATTCATCATAACTATCATAAACCTAAAAATGAAAAAAAATTTTTTTTGTTTAAATACAAAAAACTCATTGAACAGATACGGCAGAATAAATGATCCTCTTAGTGTTTCGTCAAGGTTCGTCACCATGCCCTAATCTTTCTTTTTTTCAAAAAGAAAAGATTCACAATTCAATTTTCTACAAGAAATATCACAAGTTTTATTGCAAAATGTTAAACAGAAGTATTAGATGACTAATACAGCGACACTCTAACATACCGAAGTTTTAAAGGTTTTTTTTGAAAACAATACAGCATTTTTTACTACCATGGAAATCATCCGGACTGATACTTACCGTTGAAGTTCATATTGAGTTCGCAAAGAGATCTCAGTAAGACTATAAAAATCCTAACAGGGTTCTTGTTCATAGGCCTCTGAAGCTGAGTTATGACCGTTTTATTGAATCTTCGATCCAGCCTTAGATATATGCCGAGTAATCGAAGAAAAGAATTTTGATATAAATTTTGCTCATAGATAGGTCTGATGATTCTCGGTAATATTTACTTGAAAATTCAATATCTGAACAAAGAAACATTCTTTTCGACTGAAACTTTCAGAATATTCAATAGATCATTAGATCTGTCGTTGAGCAAAATTGTATGTCGAAATTCCATTATTTGATTTTTCGGTAAATACTTAAAGTTGGATCGAAAACTCAGTAAAACGATCATAACTCGGCTTCAGAAACCGATGGGCACGAATCTTTTTATGATTTTTCTACTCTTATCAAGATCTCACTCAAACAATGGATATCACTCTGGGTAGTTCCCTCATAAGTGCATTCTTTCTCATGATGTACACTGAAGTTTGTTTCAATCAAGTTATTTTTTTTTGACGCAAACATCACTTTATAAAAACTAAGCTAAAAACGCATAAAATTTTGTCTGTTTTGTACGATGTACCTAAATAAAGAGCTCGTATACAAATTCTACCATTTTAGGCTAATGCACCAATCATGTCTCTTGAAATTGAAATATAATTGGGTTATATTGATTCTTTTTCTTTTTCGTCGATTAATACAAATTTTTCTGAGAGTCTCCTCAAATCGCTTATTTTTCTACAGCCTGCAACAAGAAATAATTTATTTACATTGCAAGTATTAATAGAAACATTTTACTATCCTAATATAAAACTTTTAAAGTGCTACAAGAGTTTTATTCATTTCTTTTTCGTTAGTTGAAAACTTCAACGAATACGTGAATGTTGCTTATGTTGAAATCTCGTAGTGTCTAAGTTTTTTGCTTAACATTTTTAGTAGCAAAACTTGTAATACGTTTCTGTAGAAAATTGAATCGGAATTCTTTAAAAAAAAACGATTAACGCATAGCCATGAACTTTGACGAAATATTTAGAGAAATATTAATTCTGGTGCACTCATTATAATTCAAATTTTACTTTCGGTATATGATGTTTTCTTGCAAATGCTTCAGCTTTTTGTCGATTTCTAGCAGCAATACCATAGATTAAAATATTCGATAATTTACTTGCTGGATTAATTAATGCTATATTACAAATATTAGCTGCACCGAGTATTCCAATTTTAAATGCATCTGTTTGTTTATGTAATTGTTTTGTATCACCACTAAAATGTGTCCATAAACGATTTAATAAAGCCATCTATAATAGAAAATCAAAAAGGAAATATATGTATATATTTGAACTTTTTTTTTTTTAATCAACGAATTAAACGTAATAATAAGAATAAATTAGCAATAGGTCGATGATCACTAAATTTAATCATCGATGTTGTCCAATAATTAATTGATTGTATATAACATTGTTTTGTTCGATATAATATTCTATCTGTCCATGATGAACGTCGTGAGAGATCATATGAATTTGAATTAAGTTTATATTTATATGTTGGTGGAAATTTAATATCTGATTCTGAATATGTTTTTAATATATTTGTTTTTTCTTTTAATTCATCTTGATTTGTTTCTGTTTGTCGATAATTTAAATCACCAAAGAAAAATATACCATTATGGTCATTTATATTCCGTTGATATTGATTACATTGAGATTTAAATAACATTGATTGATGAATTAATGAATATTGTTTATTTCGTAAATGAAATGCATGAGAATTTTCACCCTGTGATAAATGACAGTTTATAAAACATAAAGATGTTTGATTAAATTCAAATCGAATACCAACAGCACCTTTATTTCCAAATAAATTCATAAAACCCTTTGTAATAGAAAAATAATTTTATTTTTTAAATAGAAATCAATAAAACCTAACTGTTCGAACTCGAGCAGTACCAATTGCTGAACATTGATTAAAATATGATGATTGAATATAAATAAAAAGAATTATTCCTTAAAATATAAACGATAAATGATGAGGAAATCGAGAAGATAACAAAAAATATGTTTTACCATTTAATCGAATATAAGAAAGTAATTTATAATTTGGTAAAGTTTTTTCGATTAATTCTATCCATTGATCTTGAGATTTCTTTTTAAGAAAGAAAAAACCCGAGGGTAATTCTTGAAGACCTATAGCAATGATGTGAGGAGTAATAGATTGATGAATTAACCATGAAGAAAGATTGAGATCAGCAGGAGGATAACGTTTATGAGTATTAAATGATCCAATTAGAATAGATGATGATGAAGGAAGTTGTGAGTCTACCATTAAAAATTTTTATTTTGAAGATATCTCGATGATTAACTAGAGCGGTTATCGACATTTACTTTTCAGTTGATTTAATGAAACTCAAAATGATTGGATAAAAATTTTACAAAAAAACCAAATTAATTTTTCTTACTTCAAATATCTTTGGTGTAGCTTTTGATGAAATATCTTTCTGGCGATCTGAATAAAATTTTGTTGTAGATGACGCTAGTTTTGAAGATATTTCGAAAACTACTTAACATCAGAGATCGATTCATTTTTTATTATCATCAGAAAAATCAGATTGATTTTTGTTGTCAAAGTTTCCTCTAATCATTTGGAGTTTTATCAATCGCAGAAGATCAACAACAAATTTCTTCGGTGTGACTTTCATGAAAGATGAATCATATGAAAAGTATGCATCGCATTGCATTCATTCATTGATTCTAGTGCTTTGCTATGCATGCAGAGGATTGGTTAGTCGATTTATACCATTTCAAATGCTCTTTCATTTGAGATATACCTGCACAGATGTTGTGTTATTGTCCTGTATTCAGGTAAATACGTAAATGCTAAGTTTATTATGAAAAAAAAGAATATATATATCTATTGCAATAGACAATGATATAGCGTAGTAGATAACATTATTACGTAATAGACAATATATTAATACGTAATAGAGAACAAGATTAAGGTTAAAATATAATGTTTTTTTGAGCTTGATCAACAATACAAGGTATAGTTGAGATCATGAGAAAATAAAAATAAAATGAAAGAACGAAAAGGAAAACAACACACACGTATATATATATACGTTTGGCGTATTACCAAGATAAAACGAAAAGAAATACGAAAATCAACAGAAACGAAAAAGAAAGGAAATAGAAAAAGAAAGCAATAGTTAATGTCAATACATTACAAATATATCCATAAACGGTTTAATAAAACCATCTATAATAGAAAATCAAAAAGGAAATATATGTATATATTTGAACTTTTTTTTAATCAACGAATTAAATGTAATGCTACGACTGCAGAAGAACGACACTCTCTATATTAAATGATCTGATTGATAGGGCACATCAAAGAATGTGGGTGCCGCGGTTTCCTTCTTGTGCAGTTGTACCAACATAATGAGAATAAATTAGCAATAGGTCGATGATCACTAAATTTAATCATCGATGTTGTCCAATAATTAATTGATTCTATATAACACTGTTTTGCTCGATATAATATTCTATCTGTCCATGATGGACGTCGTGAGAGATCATATAAATTTGAATTAGCTTTAAATTTATATGTTGGTGGAAATTTAATACGTGATTCT